TGATCAGTGTGTTTTTGTTGTGAGTATATTGTTGTGATAAGGAGGAGAGATTATCTGTCACTGTGATTGATGGGTGTCGTTAGCTGGTCTTTTGTGTGTAGTATCACCGATCCTTGTGGCTGGGGAGAGTTTGTTAACCTTTTGCAGGCTGTCTTTTTCAGTGCTGGGAGCCAAGCTTTGTTGAGTTTTAGACTTTCTTCTTTTTTGCTGAAGCTCTGCTGGTGTTTGTAGATTTCAATGGCTTCCCTGTGTAGTCTAATATAATGATTGCTGGTGTCGTCCAGTATTTCAGTCCCTGTATTTTGAAATAGGATTTCATGTCCAGTTTGTTTTAGGACATGTTCAGCTACTGCCGATTTTTCCGGTTGTTTTAGTCTGCAGTGTCTCTCATGTTCTTTGATTCTGGTGTGGATGCTTCGTTTTGTGGTCCCAATATATACCTGGCCACAACTGCAAAGTATCCGGTATTAAAAAGTTATAACGTGACACAAAGGTCAACTCAAATCAAATGGTCCTTGTATTTTTTTTTCTCTGCCACTACAGGTTTCTGCTTTTTTCAAGCTGCAATTATTTGAAGAGACTTTCCCCCCGTGTGATCAATTGTTTCCTTCTGCAAAACAATGAGGGCAACATGTCAGGGTGTTGTGGAGGTGGTAATGTGGGCACATAGGGCATGATGTTGAGGGACCACAGGAAAATCCTCTCCCGTGATCTGCTCCCCCAAGTGATCCCACTTCTTTAAAAAATAGATGTCTAGTGCTGGATCATTACACTGATACATTGATATACTAGCTTAGTGCTAGATCATCTCTACACTGGAAAAAATTGAACATTTCTAGAAAATAGAAACAACTCTGACAAAATACAGAAAACTGCATATGTTTCTGCAGTATGTGTGTTTTGGTGTATGTTGTGAAGAACTTTGGTAAGCTACTGCATTTTCTCTAAAATCATGCAACCCTTTGTAACCAAACAGTATGACAGTGAATCACAAAAAAAGATTGGCGGAGGTGGGAACAGGGGGAGGGAGGGAAGGAAGGAAGGAAGGGGGCTATGCGGTGAAATGCAGATTGCACCATATACATGCATGGACATTGATTCAGAATTAATCCATGACCCTTGTGAGATCACTAACTGTGAACTGAAATGGAAGATAGTATTTGAATCACACCACAGTAATTGGAACTTTCAACTTGAAAAAAATTACATAAGAATGTTGATCTTGCCCAAATTAGTAAAAAAGGGGGGAATAACTTGTTATTAAGTCTCAGAGTCCTGTTTATATTTGAGGGACTCTTCGTGATCATCTGAAGTGACACAGGCAATGTCTCATCAACAACAGCAGTTCCCCCTCAAGTAGTTCCCCCTGAACCCCTGGAGCATCCCTTGTCTTGAAAATATTCAATAGTGGTACCAAAAACTCTATTTTTCAAAAGAGGGGATACTATGGAGGTTCAACTGGAAAAGACTCTGAGATAATTTTCCCCAATTCCCAGAGTTTTCTCCGTGAGAAACTGTGGGAATGAGCAGCAAAACGTTAGCTCCTTTTTTTCCACTTGCTTGGGCCAAACATTCTTACGCAAATGACATAAATGACTCGGTGCCCTCAGTCGTGGTGAAGAATATTATGCTATAGTTAGTGTTGAAATAACATCGAACTGGCAGTCCAGACAGCTTCTGTACACGGAATGAAGATGGGCACCATCTTGTCCTCCATCTTTGGAAAAATATACAGTGGGCTGGCCTGGAGAAGTAAGCAGGAAGTCTGGGCTTCATGGTAAAGAACCATAAGATGATTGCCCTTCCTGTTGTCTAGCCACACACTTCCTTCCATAGGACCTAAAATCCCTCACAAGCTAGGTAAGAAACAGAATTAGAGATCTTGGCTTTCTTTCATAATCAGCCTTTATCATGGAACACAGCATGATCAAATTTGCCTTTAAAGCTAATAAGATTTGACTGAAAATATGCAAGAACAGGCTGGCAAAGATTAGGCTTTCTGGTCTTTCCATTCAGTTTTCACATTTATGCACTGTTAAATTAGGTTAGCAAAAAGGTAGGTATCCGTTCATAGTGGCTTTTTCCCTTCTGTACAAAATTAACCCCTTTGCCTCTTCCTTTATAAATCATGACAATTTGAAACGGAATGGCTGTCAATGATGGCTTTCAATGAGTATGTGCATATAGCACCCTGGGTTTAGTCATGCTTTGCTTGTGTTAAAGGTATCTTAGACATTCTGTTAACAAAGGACAGAAGCAAATGTGTATTCTCCACAAAGTTATTGGTAAACATAGCACCCATTCCCAAACCTGCTAGATCTGGGATGTTTTTTGAAGGAGGAGGAGGAGGAGGAGGAGGAGGAGGAGGAGAAGAAGAAGGAGAAGGAGAAGGAGGAGGAGGAGGAGAAGGAGGAGGAGGAGGAGAAGAAGAAGAAGAAGAAGAAGAAGAAAAGAAGAATGAAAATTCCTTAGAAGAAGAATCCTCTAATGAAAAGCTTAAGAGGTTCCACGGCTTTTATATAATGTTTTATTTATTTACCAGCTTGCATGCATTAGGAATATCTGCTTTATAGAAGATAATAGTGGGTATGCTGTTGTCTTCCTGGGACAGAAACCTATGAAGACAGTGTGGCCATGCAACTCTTCCTTGTGAGCAGCTGCACATTCATTTTCAAGCATCCTCAAGGAGTCATCCTGCATCTCTTTCATGAGCAGCTCTCTTTCATTGCTGCAGCTCTGTTCCTATAATAAGGCAAGCCTACTGTCCATCAGCCATTAATGGAGGCTTCTTGATGGGTTTGTAACTCTTGGAACAGCCTACCATTCTTCCATCTTCTATAAGCACCCCTCCCCTCTTCCATGGCCCAGGATTCCATAAGTATGGCAGTGGGGCATTTTTGCTTAGTTGAAACATAAGCAAAAGTAGCAGCCCGGGAGCTACTGTAAGCTAAAGTGTTGATTCAGCACTTTGAAACTTGGAATTATTATTAGAGGACACCTTCCCTTGTGTAACAGGATCATGTTCTTTCAAAGAAAATATGAAATCTTGTGTTTATTAGAGAAGTACACTTGAGATTGGAAAGATCCTAGAAGACTTAGTTCTGATTGAGTTGGATATGCAAGGAGCTATGGTGGCCCCTTTCATCTCCAGAGAACAAAGAGAAGATGTATCCTCCTAGGAGGGACAAGAGAGAGGTATGTGAAGGGAGAACATCAGCAACCCTAAAAATAGCAGTCTAAGGTTGAAGGAAGGTCAGCACAGGTCAGAGACCTGCAGCTTTCTGAATGAAATCTATTTTGGACTGGCTATGCTGGGTATGAGTCAAAGAGGACACAGTCTAGGAACATCTAGAGGGCTACAAGTTGCTCACCCTGATCTAAGACTTCTTCCTAAACT